TGCCTGTGCCAGGCCTGGGAAAGCTGCTGGCTGTTTGCTCAGCCAAAACCTCCTTCACCCTCCCAGCCAATTCCTCCTGGCTCATTCTGGATATCCCAGGGGGTTTTTGGATATTCCTGGGTGGTTTTCCCGGCCTCCCTGGCCTGGGATCTCTCAGTGCAGCTGTTGGGGTCACCCCCTGAGGATCCTGAGCTCCCCCAGGGCCTGGCAGAGGCAGAATGATGGAAAAAGGGGAAAACCAGAGGCAGAGGCAGGGAGGGAAGGGCTGGCCGGGAGCTTTCCCTGCACAGGGCTCTGGGCAGCCACCCCATCCTGTTGGAAAATTCCCACCCCCTCCTCTGCTTTCCAGAAACACTGCCTGCAAATCCCAAAGGACAAATGCCCCAAAATGGGATTTTTTTTGAGCTAAACCCTTCCAGGCTTTTGCAAATCCCAGGGAAGAGCTTGAACAGCTCTGTCCTCTTCCCCACAGAGGCCTGGTCCTCCCAAAAGCTGGGAAGGCTGCAGACAGCTGGGAACAGAGCTGGAGGAGGAGGGCTGAGCTTATTGAGGCCATTCCCGGCTCTGGCACATTCCCAAATCCCTCCTCCAGCCCATTTCTCACCCCAGGAAGTGCTTTGAAGCCTGTGTGCCGACAAAAACCCACTGCAGGTCGGTTTAAAGGGAGTGGATCAGGAACAGGGGCCTGGAACAGGGACTGCCACAACCCCGGGGCCCTTGGGATTTACCCTGGGGGCTGTGGGCAGTGGAGGCTCAGGATAAAACGTGGGATGGGCTCTGCTCAGGGGATTAAAATAAAATATAAAATAAAATAAATAATGGTTTAGAAACAACTGGAGCTGGTGCTGAGCACATGAGCAGCCTCGTGCCCGGATGTGGGTGCGTATTTTTGTTATCTCCAGAGGAATAAATCAATCCAGGCCGTGCTTTGACTGGGATTTCAGCAGATTCCTGCTCAAATTCATCAGGAAAAATGAGCTGTGAATAGAAAGGCTCAGCCCCAAAGAGCCTGGAAGGCCACGGAGATAAAGGGAGGTGTTTGAGCCCTCGGGGACAGGGAGGGAGGAGGGCTCTGCCTCTTGCAGGAGCCAGGGCAGTGAGTTTATCCTGATTGCAGCTTTCCCTGCCCAGGGCTGTGCTGGCATTGTCACACCCTAGAGGGGACGTCCCTGCTCAGGGACACTGTTTATACACGGCCCAGACTGCCTTGGCCTCTCCTTATCCACAGCTCCTTATCACTGTGATAAGAAGAACACAATAAATAACAATAAAGATGCGGGAAAAGCCAAGGGGAGCCAGGAGGAGGGACAGGGTTTCATCCAGATTTTTACAGAGAATCTTTCCCCATTTCCAAAGCCCAGCTGGCTGCATGCTCTGCTCCCAGGGGAGTGGAATTTGAGGGTTTTCCCTCCTCCCTAGGGTGAGGAAGAGGAGGGAGAGGAAGCTTTTGCTGCCCCAGGATGTGCTCACCTCATGGAGGTTCAGCTCCTTCACCTTCTCCTTGAGTATGACCTGCAAGGCAAAGAGCTGGGGTCAGGACAGAGCTTCTGCCATCAGCATTCCCAGAAAAATCTCCACAAAGGGATCCCACTGAGTGCCCCAGCAGAAATGGAGCCCCCCCAGTGAACCCAGCACAGCCAGGGAGCACAGGAGGAGGGGAAATAAAACCACAAGGACCAAATCCAGGAGCTTTCCTCCCAAACTGAACCCTCCTGGGCCACCACTCATCTTCCCTCCATGCAAGCTGAGCACCTGGACAGGGCTATAAATGCAGGACAATTCAGCCCAGCTCCACCCAGCCTCCTGCACAGATCAAGGGGTCAGAGGCAGAAAATCCCACAAATCCTGGCGAAAACAGGCCATGGAAGCAGCAGCCTGACAGCCACCCCTGGGCTGTGGTTATTTTAACAGGTGGGTGCAGGGAAGAGCTGGGCTTGCCATGGAGCTGCTCCCTGGAAAAGTCCTGTGACTTTTGATTGGGAGCAGCCAAATCCAGACCCCACAAAATCAAAGTTTGGTGGTTGGGGGAGCGATGGCATCACTGCTGTGCACTGGGTGAGGCTGGAGAGGTGGGGATGCTCCCACTGCTCAGGACCTCAGTGGAAAACTGGGAGACTCAGGGATGGTCCTGGTAGGGGACAATAAAATCAGCAGGGACAGGGCCAGAAACCTCCCAAGGAGAGGAAAATTGATGGATTTGGCATTAGGGAGAAGGGAAAAAAAAAAGTCAGAGGATCATCTCACCTGTTTGTAGGCGTAAAGCTCTTTGTGTGCCTGATGCCTGAGCCTGCAATGAAACCAGGGAGGGAGAAATGTGAGGTCAGGCAAAAACATCAGGATTATTGTAATACCTCAAACATTCCACTTCCCTCCTTTCCAGCTTTAACATGTTATAGTTCACATTTTTTATTTCAGAAATGAGAATGGGGACAGGAAATGACACGTTTAGGCAGCATTCAGCTCTCCCTGTTGCTGGCAGGGCAATGTCTCCATCCCAAAGCACACACCAACCTCACAATTAGGACCAGAAAAAGCAGGTGAGGAAATCACAGGGTGCCATGAATCCCCTCATTTCCAACCCTTCTGCTGGCAGTAACTCCAGCACTGAGTGCAGCACCACTTTTCAAGGCATGGGGGTTCAGCCCTGAGCAAAGCCCTGCTCCCCCTCCAGCAGGGACGGGGAAGGAGACCCTGCCCAGAGGTTTCCCACCAAAGCCCCCATCGTGTTGCACTGGGTTCCTCAAACTCAGCTTTATCCTCAATTCCAACATCAATCAAACCAGGAGCAAAGTGAGGGATGGAAATGAATGGGTTGGGCCTGTTCAAGAGCACCTGCTGCAGTGGCAAATCCAGCAGGAATTTTAGGCCACAAGCAAAGTGCTGCTGGTTCCATCCCCTCCCTCCCCTCTCCAGTCAGAGCCAGCAGGGAGCTCCACAGGCATCTGCTGCCTGGAGAAACCCATTATGCTCCTAAAATAAATACACTTCAAATTAAAATAACCAATATTGCCTCTCATTACCAGACATGGCATTTAATAAAGTGCTTGGAAAACTCAGGAGGGAAGTCCCCAGGGCTGAAGAGTTGGCCAAGGATTTTCAATACAGAGTCAATGTGTGGCTGCAGGCCTTGGAGAGCCACAGGAATATTTTCCCCAACCAGCCCTGAGTGATTTTAGATGGGAAACCCCCTTGCCTGGAATTTCTATTCTGCAAAAATATTTTGAGGGCTGTCTGAAATCCCTGAGTTTCTGGGGATTTTCCAACCCCGCCACGCTGCAGTGGGGGAAGTTATAAAAATGGGATGGAAAAATACTCCCTTATGTCTGACATCCTCCCTCAAAATGTTGTGGGCATTAGAAGGTGAGAGATGGATAAAAATGCACTTTAATGCTGCAGGGAGAGATGCACAAAGCTCCTGAGTGCCAAATTTCACAGGGAGCCATCCAGCATTGCTGCCTGGCAGGAACCATGGAAAACACTGCAGGCAGGGAGGAGGAGGAGGAGGAGGAGGAGAGGAGGAAGAAGAGGAGGAGGAGACTGGGGTGTCATCCCTCTGGCAGTGACCCTGAGCAGAAACATGAGCAGAAGATGCAGAACAATGGAGGGAACAGGATGAAACCGGCCCGAGCCGCGGGGATCCGGCGCTTATGAAACACAGATGGGGACAAGCCAGGCTGGAGCCACAGGAAGGGAAAACTGCAATGGGAATGGGAAGCAGCTTCCCCCCGTGTGGAGCACTGAGAGGCCACCAAGGGTTTGGCCCCCACGAGCCAAAGCCACTGGAGCACCTTGGAGCAGTGTGGGGGTACCAGTTGTGGAGTTTTTCTGGGTCTGGATTGAAGGCACTTGAGACAGTGTTTATTATTTCTTATCAGTAAAACAGTCTCACTGCTGGGAGTTCAGCAGCAAGGCACAAAACGGCCAACAATCTCTTGTTCCAAGGGCTTTTCAGACTAAATTATCCAGTTAAGAGCTGACACTTAGATTCTTTTCCCTTTTAACCCAATAACTGATCCCACAGAGCTCACAATGCAGAATTTTCTGCCCAATTACAAAATGCCACCCAAACCCATGGAGAAGGAGGAAGAAGACGGATGAAGGAGAAACCCAGGATGACACTCTGTGCCCTCCATCTTGCTGCCATCCACAACACACCAAAAATCCCAAAACTTCTATTTCCCACCTACACTGCTCTCTATAATCTATTTCACATTTTTGTGGATTCTGGTCTATCTTGAAGTCTGGGAAACTTTCTCCATGAATGAGGGTCAGAGTCAGTGCTGCCCTGGGGGTCAGGGCACCCCAGAGCAGACAGAGAAATATTCCCAGTGCCCTGGGTTTCCACAGACCAGCAGTGGGGAGGAAGTGACCACCTGGCTGTGGATGTGGCAGGAAGCACAGATCTGCAATTCCCAGGGTTGGTGCTGAGCTAAACAGGGAGATTTTTCCAAAAAAAACCCAAACTCCTCCCTGGAGGATTGGGGAGCAGCAGAGCACATCTGGTGCTGAAGCGTGCGAGCTCAGCCTGCCCCTCCTCGCTCCCTGAGCCAGGATCCTGGGCCAGACGGGGCCTGGAGCAGCTGCGTGAGGAGACCCCGGTCCTGGCAAGCTCTGTTCCCTCCATCCATGTGCTGTCAAGGGCTGTGACTCCCCAGGAATTCCTGGCAGATGTCTGCCCGAGATAAGGGACCACAGAGTGCCTGGCTGCTGGTCCTGTGTGTGTCACCCTGTCCCTGCAGGAGCAGCTGCCTTGCTGGGCTCTGGGAGCTCCCTGCTTCTCTGGGTGACTCAATCACCTGCAGCACGTGAACAGCTATGGGATAAACTGCAGAGGAAAAATGTTTGGCAGGTTTAGCACTGAGATTTCCATATTAGATGCTTTATAGTAGGAGTAGAAAGGCCCTGGGCACTGTTTTTTTGTCCCATTATTGTGTTGCTGTCCCAGATCAGCCAGGCTCCTTGGGCTCTTCATGGAATCACAGAATTGTGTGGGTTGGAAAAGCTCTCTAAGATCATCCATTCCCCCAGCACTGCCAAGGCCACCCTTGCCCCATGTCCCCAAGTGCCACATCCACATGGCTTCTAAATCTCCACAGGGATGGGGACTCCAACACTGCCCTGGGCAGCTGTGCCAATGCCTGACCATCCTTTGGGTGAAGAAATTTTCCCAATATCCAATTTAATTCTTTCCTGGCCCAGCCTGAGGCCGTTCCCTCTCCTCCTGTCCCTGTCCCTGGAGCACAGCCTGACCCCTCAGCTGTCCCCTCAGAGCCACAAGGGCCCCCCTGATCCCCCTTTGCTCCAGGCTGAGCCCCTTCCCAGCTCCCTCAGCCCCTCCTGGGGCTCCAGCCCCTTCCCCAGCTCTGTTCCTTTCTCTGAACACAAAACCCAACCACAGTGTTGGATCCTGGCAGGTCTGAATGCAGGAGGAAACAACCCAATAAAAAAAAGACTTTTTAGGTGCTGTGTACCCTGAGCCTGCCAGAGCTGCTCCAGGCTGGGCAGGGATGAGCCCTGGATGATCCACAGCAAAGCACAGAGAGAGGGGACGCTGCAGAATTGTCCCTCAGTGGGGGTGGCACTGCTCAGCTCAGCATCCTTCTGCACTGGGTTTTATGGGACCAAAGGCAACATGAGTTTATCACTTTCATTAATTCACCAGAGATCAGACACGACCAGCTGCCTGCAAAATCTCATTTCCTTGTTCTTCCTTTTTTATCTGTAATTCTGCTGAGCAGAGGCAGCAGCCAAGAGGGACCTGAGCTCTGACCTGAGTGGTTTGCAGCACCAGAAAAGCTCGAGGTTCACCTGAACAATACACAGGCAATAATGATTTCTGTTGTGGAACTGGACTCTTGCTTTGAGCCAATCCAATTAAAAATGTCACTTTGGAGCAGGCAGCACAGGCTGTATTGACACAGCAGCAAAGCACAGCCCATGTCCTCTCCTTCCCCAGCACATCTTTTATTTAATGCCATCAGCTCTGTGATTTGGGGTGAATATACCTGATATTGGCTCTTCCACACTCTGGATGCTGCAGGGGCTGCTCTGATCCAGAGCAGGAAATGAGAACCAGGGCCTGGGGGAGGTGTTTGCCAAATATTTGGAGATGTGGAGTCATGGGAAAGGAGGGAGAGGAAGGGCTGTGTTGATGCTGCACCCATGGGCAAGCCAGGAGCTGCTGTCACCTGCAAAGAAGCCCCACAGATGGAAGCAGAGGGGACCACCCTGTCCTTCTGTTGGTCCCTCTGCCCTCACAGGTGGCTGGTCCTCATCCTGTTGTCCACCTACAATGCTTCCAAAATTCAGACTTTCATATCCCAGATGAGCTGAGATTACAGAGCAGCTCCTGTGGAGGTGGGTGCTCCTGGGACACTGGCACAGCTAAAACCCACAGCACAGCAAAACCCTCCCCGCTGGGGGCTGCAGGATCCTGGTTTGGTTCTGTCCTGCCAATAAAAGAGCTGAGGGAGGAGGGCTGAAGGGCCATTTGTGGAGTCTCTCGAGGGTTTTGGGCTATAAAGGGATCACTGGGTGACCTAATCCAAGTCCACATCTATCATGGGTTGCTAAATAGCACCTCAGGAACAGGAGCCAAAATGTCTGGTCCAGAAAGGTCTTGATTTAAAGGCGTGAGGAGACTGAGGACTTGCCACTTCCTTGCTGGCTTCTCTCACCGGTTACTCACCCTCTCTCTCTTACAACACGCCTCCAGCTGCTAAATTTAAAGATTTTCTGGCTTGACCTTCCAGACATTACTCCTTGTTATTCCTTCTTTGGGGCATAACACATCCAGTGAGTGCCCAGGAAAATACTCTCAGAGTGCAAACACCTCTGCAATTTTCTAAGTGAGCCATATAGACTCGAGCTCCACCTGAGCAAAACAAGTCCTTGAGCCCTCTGAACACCTCTGCTCTATTTTCATGCACATTCAAAACACAATTTTCTAATTCTGGGGAAAAAAATGAAGATATGATGGCCAAGCAGCCCAAATCACCCCTTGGTAAACCTGGGTTTGGCCTCATCTGTATATTTGATGAGGTTTTGCTTCATACAGAACTGAAAATGGGTGGGAATTACCAAGTATTTAGAAGGTTGACATTGAAATCTCGTTTCCCTGGCCTGCAAGAGCAGGATAAAATATTTTCAACATCCTCTGGATAGATAACCTGGTGGGACTGGCTGCTGTGGTGCAGGGAAGAGACTGGGTACCTGTTTTACAGGAACACAGGGAAGGGATGTGATGGATGCACAGCCTGCAGGGAGCTGGGCCCAGCTGGAAGGACAGAGGGGAAGGAGAGGGGATGGAAAAGCTGGAGAGGAGAGCTCTGGGAATGCAGAATTTTGGGTACCAGTGCTGGCAGAATGATGACAGATTGAAGCACAGCCTCCTCCCATCTTGGGTTATCAGCACAACTCATCTCCATCACCACCTCAATTCTCAGGCACTGTGGTTTTCCCCACTTGCCTCATTTTCCCTTGCTCAGGAAGAGTTTCTCCTCTCAATTAGCAGCCCAACAATCTCCCCAATGGCCCATAAAATAATTTAAAAAAGCCCCAAACAGGAACAACCTTTCACCCTGCCATCCTGCTCCCCCATTGCTCAGATTAACACATCAACTCTGCATCATTAATCTCCAAACTGGGCCGTTGAAGGAGCAATTTGTGTTCAATAAGCAACGGAGCAGGTATTAAACATTCCTTAGGCACGCAGGACACGAGTTACTCATTACAGAGGGAAATGTGTTCAAACATTAAGCAGAAAGCAGGGACCATGAAACATCCCTTTTCCAGGTTTTCTGAGAAGCTGGCAACAATTCCATACCTTTAGTAGCAAATGTGTTTGCTACTCCTCGTTTTAAGTGGATAAAGTCACTGCTTTGTGGGACATCAGGTTGACATAAGATGTGTCAAGGAAATTGGTGCTGCCAAAGAAATAAGGTGCTGCCATCCTCTTTTTGGGATGGAGGGATCAGTGATGGGCCTGGAAGCAGGGAAGCTTTTGAGGAACATTGCCTTGCAATATTCCCTTACCTGATCAAGTAGCAGCAGAAGAGCAAGCTGAGGATGAAGACGAAGATGGCTGTGCCGAAAACCACGATGTATATGTTGAGAGGAAGGTTCTGGAACCCGATGTTCGGCATCCTGAAACTGTAATGCTGGAAGTCTGAGCTCATGGGTAGGCTGTGGAGACAGGGAGAAAGCCCATGGGTGTGACATTCCTTAAGGATGCACTTTGCAGACCATGGTCCCCCTGAATGGCTGTGGAAAGGGCTGGAGATGACTTCTCACTCATCCCCCTCCTCCTTGCCCAAAACCAAGTTCCCATCTTGGCAACCCTGAAAACAAAGCAGGGCTGGATCAGCTGGGGCTGGGATTTTCCTTCTCCCACTGTGAGCTTCTCCTCCAGCTCTTTTCCTTTCACACACCATCCTTCAAGTTAACCACTGGATGAGATGGAGGGTGGGAATTGCATCCAAGCAGCCCCAGCTGCAGCCAGCATCCCTCAAACCCTGCAGGAACTTGGTAAAAATACTGAAAGCAGCCAGGAAGCCTTGGAGCAAGTTTGCCTTCCCTTCTCCTATAGTGGTTTCTAAGACTGACTCCTCATTCCATAGAAATCCTGCAGCAAAATGACCAAAGATGAAAAGGAAGAGGACAAGGACAGTCCCAGGACACACAGCAGTGCTGTTGAGAGAAATTATGGGGACACTATGGGCTCTGTAAAAGAGGCTTTGTTTGTTTTACCATCTGACACATGGGTTTGGTGGTTTAAGAGCACTTCTGCAGATTTCAGCTTTACTCCTCAGCACAGCCCCAGGCTCCTTCCCCCCAGGAAAGCCCCGAGGCACCAGCGAGAGGTTGCCAAGTTTGGCAATTTTGGCAGCAATTTTGGCTGTCATGTCCCACGTCTGGGACCCGTGACCAAAACCTCCCTCCCCTTGGAGAACCCCAATGAAACCCCGAGCAGCTGTCTGGGATAACAATTTCAGCAAATCCTCTCCTCCAGGATTTTAATTGCTCTTATTTATTATCTCTTATCTTCCTATCATTCTCTGAACCATTTGCCCTCAGATGATCACAACCGTTGCTGGCCAAGCACAAAGTTCCCCTGCCCCCAGCTTAGAAAAGGAAGTTAAAAATACACCTTGTTTTCCCTCCTGCCCACGGGAGAGCAACGTGTGATGGAGTTTTACAAGCAAGGAAAGTACCTGCAGTCTGAGCCTTTTATTTCCCAAATAAAATCACCAAGGGATAACAAAAGCCTCCCCTGGAGCAGGGAGTTTTCCACGGCGCAGTAATTGCACAGCTCCTCATTTTGCACGGGGTGGGAAGAGGTGGGGAAACCGCAGGATCTGAACCCACACACGCCAGGGAGCGATGCTCCAAAATCCAACTGTCCTCTGGGAGTCCCTTCAAGCAGCATCCTCACTCCCAAATCTCCTTTCTCCCTTGAAGAAAACCCTTTTTTGCCAAACCCTGTGAGCTTTCCTCGGGCTTCCCACGGGGAGCAGACTCACCTCTCATCCCGGCTGCCTCACCGGGGCTGTCCCCTTGCTGAAGGCACCATCCCTGCCAGCCCCAGCACCCGCCCGGAGCCTCCCTGCTCCGGCTGCTTTCAGTTCCCTCCCTCGCTGGAAGTTTCGAGTCGATTTCTGGTAAAGCCTGGATTTGATTAAAGCCTCCAGAGACCAACACCACGCATGTTCAGAACCTCTCCTGGCCAACGTGGAACCGCTCCGAGCGCTGGGGGAGCCGGCACATCCCCCTGCCAGCGCTGGTGGGGATGGGATTTTATAGCCCAGCAACCACCCAGGAGGCAGCTCACGCTCCTCCACCGACGCCTGTTCCGCTCAGCTGAGCTGGTTTGCTTTGCAAATCAATTTGAAGAAGCCCAATCCAGCCCCCAAACCTTTGTTCCCAGCTCTGGCGGAGTTAATGCGCAGCTCGGAGCCGCGGGCTGGGTTTGGGTTTCAGTGCTGTGGGTCAGAGGGGTTTGGGACGGGTCAGGGGCTCCCCTCGGTGACACTTGGGGGCGTGAGGGGGTTTCAGCTGGAGGATGCTGCCCCACCTCACCCTCGGGATGGCAATCACTGCCTCTGGGCAAGGCTGGCTGCCTGCAGCTCCTCAGCCACCCCAGAGAAACGTCCTCAGTCTGGGAAAGCTCCAGGTGAATTTTTGCAAGGGAGGAGAAACAACTCTTGCAACTCTTGGCAACAAAACCAACCCGCACTGGACTGTAGTTTTTCTTCCCTTTCCAACTCTTTTAACTTGTGATGCTCATCTCAGCAATCCCACTAAGAGATTCCATGGCTAAGGAACATCCAAGGCTGCATTTGGAGCAGCAGATCCCATCAAGCCAGAAAAATTCCTCGTGCTTGTGTTCACCTGAGCTGTGCTGCTCTTGCAGCAGTCCCCACATCCATGAGCACAGCTAGGAACCATCACAGCCCTCAGCAAATAAACAGAGCTCAGACCAACCCCCAGCACTTTCCTCTCCAATGGAACCACTTCCCTAACACTTTTCTAATATTTTGCCCCAAAAGAATGTCACAAATGCAGCCATGACCTACCTGCCAGCCATGTCCTGGGGGCTCAGCCTCCTGGGGACAACCCTTCTGTCCCCTGTGGTGCAAATCCAGGGAATCCCACACCAGATTCATCCAACCCCTGTGTGATACAACCTTCTCCACATTGGAGCTGCCCTGGTCCTCCCTCCCTCCTGCTGCAACAGCTGAGAAATGTTACAGCAAAAAACACGGAGGTTAAAGGGGAAGAATCAGTTAGTCTGCCCAGGATCCAGGAAACTGTTAACTTTAAAAGACTCCAGTGAAATCTGATGATTTCAAGCAGCCAAGCTTTGGGGTTGGTTTTTTTTTTTTTTGGATTTTTTTTTTTAAAGGGGAGTAGGGGGGAGGGAACTGTATTTTAAGCTGCTTCAGATTTGCAAGGGCGCAGCCAAAAGAAATAAAAAAAGGAGCCATAAAGAAGGATGAAAAGTTTCTGGTGCAGAACAAAAGCCTCCCTGTTGCTCTCTCCGTGGTCAAGGCATCTCAGAGCAGGGACATGATGCTTGTGGGGCATCCATGGCTCCCAGTAATCCCTGAAATCCCTGGGATGGGAGACACAGGCTGCACATAGAAAAGGTCCAGAGAAGCTGTGGCTGCCCCTGGGTCCCTGGAAGCGTTCAGGACCAGCTTGGATGGGGTTTGGAGCAACCTGGGATAGTGGGAGTTGTCCCTGCTCATGGCAGGGGGTGGAATGAGATGAGCTTTAAGGTCCCTTCCAACCCCAATCACTCCATGATTCTGCAATTCCACGATTCTGTGAAAAATGGCAAAGAACAACGGCTCCTTGTGCTGGGATGCAGAGAGGCACAAATGGCAGAACAACCTGAGCTCCACATCTCCTTCCTTACACCCTCCAATGACTCAGCAACGTGGGGCCAAGCACATCCCCATTTCTGCAAGGAGGACAAAGCCCAGCTTTAATGAAAAGCCCAAGTGCTGGTTAATGCCCCATCGAGCAGGGAGTGTCACAGGTCAGCGAGCTCCAGCGTGGCACGGCTTTGATTGAACCTCACCAAGCCACGGCCCAAATTAATCCCCACCACAGCCACAGCAAGCCCTGAATACGTGGGGCCAGCCTCGTACCCAGAGCGTTCCTCAGAGATCTCTCAGGGATTAATAAAGCAAGCAATTGTTTGCTCACAGGTAGGGAAACTGAGGCAGGGAGGAGGAGGGGAGTGAGGCAGAGCTGTGCTCCCTGAAGCCAGGGGGTGCCACTTCAAGCAAAGCCATGGGCTGAAAGCTGCAGATTTTTGCTCTCCCTGGATTGGAACTGTGGGCTCCTTCTTGGGGTTTTACTTATTAAAAGGAGCTGCTTGTACTTTTTCAAAAAAATTTATTATTATTTATTTATAACATCAGTGCATAAAGGGGCCATGCATGCGCTGTGCATCCTCACACCTAAATACATGCTGGGTGGAGCACTGGCTTCTGCTTCTGCTGTTGTAAATAAACTCCTGTTTTTAGAGGGATTTACTTTATGTTTTCAAGACAAACAACTTTCTCCACAGGGGTTCAAAGCAAACTCAGCCTGAATCTCTTCAGCCATGAACTGGATGGAGCTGGTGGTCTGGGCATCCCACTGGCCAGGCTGGCAAAGGAGCTTCAAACACCCCTCAGAGCCAGCCACAGGCAGGCCTGAAATCACCAATCTCAGGGAAAAGTGAACGCTAAGCCGTGGCCAAACTCCAAGCTGGAATATTTTATCGATGGGAAAGGTTTCAAGCGGGCGTGAACGGCGTCTCGAGTTTCAAAGGCGTTTCGCAACGTGTTTCAGACAGGTTTAACCAAAAGCCTTATTAACTGGTTGAAAGTTAAACTGGGAGCAGCTGACAAGACCTTTGTGAAACAGCCCAAGTTGTGGTGCAAAGCAGGGTATTCTTCCATGGAATGATTCTACAAGAGGAAGGTTATTTAATGGCTATGACTAACGGGATAATATTTAAAAGAAAAAGATTCTTCCAGGTGTTAAGCAGAAGCCAGTGACGCCCTCGTTTAACTTGCAGGGAAAAAAATCCCCCTCGTGGACCCCAAAAGCAAAGCAAAGGCCTGACCTCAAGCAGCTGGAAGGAATTTCCTTCAGCTCTGTCTCTGGAGCTGGTCCAGAGCCAGGATCTGCAGCGTGGCGATGGGAAAATCACAGGCAGCTGCAGAGCCAGCCCCAAACCAGCTCTGCCATCGCCCCAGAGGTGCCACGGAGCTGCTTGGTGGAGCAGGGGAAATCTCAGCGCTGCTCCAGCCAGCAGTGATGGCCTTTGCTGTCCAAAACCAAGGAACAACAGGACTGAGCACAGGGGGGAGAACAAAACCTCTTGGCACGATGCAATTCCAAAGAGCTGCGACGCTGCCATGGGGATGCCACATCCAGTGCCAGCTCTGAGCAGCCAACCTGGCCCAGATCCTTCACTCCACAAACCTGGCAGGGAATGGAGGAGCGTGAGGGATGGTGCAAGCCTTGGCAGGGTTACTGATCAGGGAACAGGGAACACCCCAACGGGTCCCTCACACCACAAGCAGAGCTGTACCAGGATCCAGCAAAGCGTGGCTGGGGTGATGCAGCACCATCACAGCAACAGAAAGAACTTCTGGGTGTCAAACAGCACAAAACCACATTTGTTTCACCCATTTTGGCTGCCTGCAGGTTTGGGGGTGCTGGTGGGTTTTTGGTGTGTGCCTGGACATCCAAGGAACCAAACTGACCTCCAAGCACAAAGGGCTTCGGACCTTTGATCCCTCCTCCCTGAGAGCGGATCCGATGCTTTTTTTGAACTGGAATCAGGAAATTTCCTGGCTCTGCTCCCCAGCTGGCTGACACCAAACACAAAACCTTAACCCTCTCCACTGCCTCCAGGCAGGGGACACAGAAAGTGACGTGACAACACGACAAAGCAATTGGAAAAAAAATAGGAAAGTCTAAGGAGAGCAACATCCGGCAGCACAACTGTGCCGCTGCAATTTCCAGCAAGCCCTTCTGATTCCAGGCAGTTGAAGAAACAATTAATCCCAGAACTTTAAAACTGAAGAGAACCTTTAAGTGGGAAAATGTTTTTGCTGCCACTGGCAGAGAAACGTGCAGAAATGGGTCAGCTGCAGCTCCCATCACCCTCTGCAAAGTCAAGTTCTTTCTCCCGGCGCCGTTGGAAAAGCAAACCCAGAGGTTTGCTCAGGGCTGATTTTGCAAGTTCCAGGAAAACAAGCAAAAATAAATAGAAAAAAAAAAATCAAATCAATAGCACAATTTAATACAGTCTGGAGGAGGGGGAAGCAGAGTTTGGAGGAGAGCCCTGCCTGAGCTCCCATCAGGAATGAGAGAGCTGGGAATCACTTCCCAGGAGGGTTTGAAGCAGAGCTGGCAGAGCCTCTCTCAGAAAAACTCACACAAGCTGCCCAAGGACAGCTCCATTCACTGCTCAGAGATGAAATAACACTGGAGGAATTTTTCCCCTTTGGCCTTGGGGATTTGTAATTATTTTTCTCCCCCTTTTCCTGGCACGCAGTTCCAACAACGTCACGACCTGGTGAGCTCACTCTTCCTCCCCAAAGTGTGGTGGGAAAGGATGTGCTGCTGCCTCCTCCTGCCCCCAGCCCTCTCTGTACTCCTGAGGTGAAAAGAGGAGGCAGGAGCCATCACATCCATTTATGGGCTGTTGGTGGCAGGACACACATTACATTATTAAATTTGGGTGTATTTTAGCCCAAAAAGAGCAATGAGAGCACAGGCAAATGGGAATAATCTCCCACCTTCATTTGTGGTAGGTTTTCCTCATTCACAGTGTTCCCCAATAAACAGGTTCCTTGGGGAGCACAAATTGGAAACTCCATGAGAAACACTCAGCCCACACAGCTGAAGGGTCAGAGCAGAGAAATTGATGTTAAACACTCCAGAGAATTTGAAAATTCCTGAGTGATGACACAGAGCTGTGGGAAGCAACGGGGACTCCCAAAATATCACAACTAGAATAAATAAAAAAAAAATCCCACTTTGATCAAGTCATCTTCAGGCTGAACCAAAACCAATCACTTTCCATGGAGCCAAAGAGCAACTTGCCCTCTCCACTGTAATACTGAGAAGCAGATGGATTAAACAACTTCCTAAAACCCTTTTCCCCCTATTTCCTAAGCTCCTTTAATGAAGGAAAAAATAAATAATGATCAGTGCAGCCCACAGGGATCAATAATCCTACAAAACCCTGCTGGAGAGGAGCACCCTGAGCCAGTGATGGGATCCCAGCTGCCAGCAGCCATCCCATAAAGGCAGCTGGAGGAGCCAAGCACAGTTTGGGAACAGGAAGGCAGAAGGATCTGGTTGACACGAAATAAGGTTGCTAGGTTATGGATTTTTGTGAGGGGGGGCATAATCTGCAAGGGGATCCAGATGGCTGGAAAGCCTTGTGGTGGAAAAGCAGCATGAGGCCAGAGAGGGAAGAATTCCTCTTTATGCTGCTCCTGGATCCTGGGTTTCACTCCTCAGGAATGCACTCTGTGGAACCCTTTTAATTGCACCATTTATATTTGAGGTAAAAATTAAGAAGAAGAGGTAGCTGGATGGAGAAGAGTGAAAAAGCTGGTGACTGGATACTGGGAAAAAAGTTCCATAACAAATCCCACAGAGCAGCCATTCCCCCAGCCCCCTTTGATCCAGCCAGGTTTGGATTTTACAATCCTGACAGCCTGAAAAAGGCTCCAGGGAAACCCAGACAATCCCAAACCCCAGCCTGCTGGGAATTCACACCAATGCCACGTCACTGCTGTTTCCAATTTTTCCTAATACTTCCAAAAAATGAGCTGCACAGACAATCCACCCTTTCCTGGTTTTGACCCAAGCACTGGGATTTAGGGGAGCATTTTTTTTTTTATCATTCCTTCTCCCTTGCTAACAGAGACTGGAATGGTTTTGCAACACTTTACAGAGTCCAGCAAAAAAACCTCCTGGGAGTCACATGGAAACAGGACCAAAGCTGCTTCACCTCTATGGGACTGGCACAAAAAAGGTGACTGCAAGGATGGAAAACCCCTCAAAATTTAGTTGGGAATGGAGAATGGAACTTTTCCACAGCCAGACTTGCACAACCAAGTGAGGTGCTTGGAGAGAAACATTCACCAACCAACATTCACCATCTTTTCTGTCACAGTCTCAGCACCAAAGGTGATGCCATGGGATATCATCCTTTTTCCATATTCCCCTGGAATTGTGGCTGACCTCAGTGGGGTGCAGAAAATGAAGGGACCTTAGTGAAGCACTGGCACAGGTTGTTTGGAGAAGTTGTGGATTCCCTATCCCTGGAAATGTTCAAGGCCATGTTGGAGCAACCCTGTCTAGTGGAAAGTGCTCCTGCTCATGGCAGGGTGGTGGAATGAGATGGCCTTGAAGGATCACCCCAATCTAAACCATTCCATGAGTCTGTGATTCTAAAATCCAGATGTACCCATACCCCAAGGTCTGTAACCAGGAGGTGATGCACAACCAGGTGTAAATTTTCAACATCACCTGCCCACACCCCTCCTCTGCCCAGGGATTCCTCATAAACTGAGCCCTAAACAAGCAAAACCCCAATTTACAGCTGTGCTGCCGATGCACAACTTGTTTCTAAAATAAAAAAGCAAAGCAAAGCAAACTCCTTTTGTGAATTAGTCAAAATTTACATTTTTCTTGCAACTGACTGAACAAAACCTGCTAAATATTTTCTGAATGCTACAAAGTTAAAAACCACCAGTGGGAATTTCGTGTAACAGTTTACTGCTGGATCTCCACGAATTCCCGGGTGCTGAATCGCCTTCTAGAAGGGAAAATATATGAGTGGCACTAAGGAGGTGATGGACAACCAGGTGTAAATTTTCAACACCACCTGCCCACACCCCTCCTCAGCCCAGGGATGCTGCTTCTTACAGGGATTCCTCAAAAAACAAGCCTTAAATAAGCAAAACGCCAATTTACAGCTGTGCTGCCAATGCACAACTTGTTTAAAAAAAAAAAGCAAACACCTTTTGTGAATTACTTATAATTTACATTTTTCTTGCAACTGACTGAACAAAACCTGCTCAATATTTTCTGAATGCTTCAAGGCTACAAAGTTAAAAAACACCAGTGGGAATTTCGTGTAACAGTTTACTGTTGGATCTCCATGATTCCCAGGTCCTGAATCACCTACTAGAAGGGAAAATATATGAGTGGCACTGAAGGGATGGACAACCAGGTGTAAATTTTCAACACCATCTGCCCACACCCTTCCTTTGCCCAGGGATGCTGCTTCTTACAGGGATTCCCAAAAAACAAGCCTTAAATAAGCAAAACCCCAATTTACAGCTGTGCTGCCAATGCACAACTTGTTTAAAAAAAAAAAGCAAACACCTTTTATGAGTTACTTATAATTTACATTTTTCTTGCAACTGACTGAACAAAACCTGCTAAATATTTTCTTGCAACTGACTGAAACAAAACCTGCTCAATATTTTCTGAATGCTTCAAGGCTACAAAGTTAAAAACCACCAGTGGGAATTTCGTGTAACAGTTTACTGCTGGATTCCCGGGCGCTGAATCGCCTACTAGAAGGGAAAATATATGAGTGGCACTAAGGAGGTGGCTTAGCAACGAGCAGGCTGGCAGCTTCAAGTGGCTTTTTAAAGGTCAAGAGAGAACACGATGTCTGGAGCCCTCACGTTCCATTTTTTTTTACTACAATTTAATGATATTTCTGGCCAGCCCGGTTATTAAATCGCCGCCTCGCACCAGCCAGCCACACATCTGTTACACCCAGGCTTTAAATTAAGACTTTCCCCTCCTAAATATCCCCTTTCAAGCCATTCTCACCTTCAGCGAAGTGAAAAGCTTTGTCGGGATGAAACACAAGGAGAGGTCCCAGCACGGAGGGGATTTTTGGGAGGTGCTGCCGAGCAGCATCATTGAAATTCAGCGGGAGAAGCCGCTTTTCCTCGGCTCTGCGGGGGCTGCCATGTTAAATCACATTTGGATTCACAGTACAAGGCTGCTAAAATACCACCACGGCGCCTATTGGCACATTTCAATGAAAACGCCGTGGCCTCATTAGTAGAGTGGAAATTATGAGCTTGTCTTTGTATATATTTAAAAGCTTGCCTCTGAAACTCTACTGGGTCGGGGCCAGGAATTCCTGGCTCTGAGCTCCTACCACTCGGCAGTTCGGGATCGCTTTGCTCGCACAGGTCAAGCGACCAGGCAGCCATCGACCCGGGAGAAAAGGCATTTAAAAAGTGCCCTGAGGGGAGAGGCAACAGGGTTTGAACTAAACCCTCCTCCCTGTCCGCTCCCTGGTTAGGCAGCAAGTCCTAATGAAAGCGCAGGTTGTAATTAAAAGGATGCAGGAATGTGGGTGTGTGGAGTTTCATCCTGCTCCCAACAGTTGGGGTGAGAGCATCCCAGAAGCACCGTTCCCCTCTGGGGATGGACCACAAAACCCCAAATCCTTTGAAATGAGGGGCAAACTCGTGAAATAACACGGATCTGATGCTCTCCAGATGGGAATTTGCAAGTGTCTGTGAAGGAAGACTTTGGGCTCAGCTCCCTACTTACCTGCACGGGCGCCGCAACGCAGCCAAGCCACGCAAACCCAACGTGTCAGCTTGAACAGCTACCGTGCTTTGGTACCAGGGATGCTGGAAGAAAAGAGAAAAACACCCTAAAAATTGCACAAAAATCCAGAGGGAGCAAGGGAGAGGATGAAGACATGGTTTTTAAACGCCTGGATGCGCAGAGGCTCCCAGAAATTGCTTCAGCTCTTGGTAACAGCACAGAGATCCCCTTTGAAAACACGGCGGTGACGTTACGTGGCATAGAAAGAATGGGGGGGGGAGGCTTGGCTAATCCTCACAATTTTATAAGCATCTGAGACACTAATCCCTTGATCTCATTGAAAGGGATTAGAATTACTCCCTTGCCAGGAAATTTAAGAAGTTTTCTACCAGATGTAAACAAAAGCAGGGAGCAGCCCGCAGAGGTGGCTGCCACACAGCGAGCGCTCCCAGAGAAATCTGCAGCTGGGCTGGTTTTGGGGTGCAAAAGGGGGATTTCCATCCCAGTGTCTGGAATGATGTGGGTATCCAAGGCAAGCCTGATCAGTCCATCCACAGAATGTCCAAGACAGGATCCCATCCTGGGCAAACAACCTGCCATGGCTTCACAACTCATCTTTGGGCTCCAACTCTTATGGAAATGGATGCTTCAGCTAAAAAAAATAAATCCATCCCAATCACCTGATTTGTTCTGCATTGGCCTAGGAAAACATCATTTTAATAATAAGAATAAGAAAAAAATATCTGAGCAACAAAACAAGTTGTGCCCCAGCCACACAGCAGCCTTCATCCACACAGCTCAGTGGTAAGGATCAGGATTTAATAAAGAAAATATAACATGGCACCCTCATGGAAACAGACTGGGATCTGCTGCTACCCTCACAATGAGTGATTCATAATATTGAAGAATAAATTATTTAACTTAGAAGATGAAGCAGGCAATGTGCAATCTGGGGTTTGATATCAAGCAGTTTGCTACTAAGTTGGATGTGCCAGCTCAGAACATCGATAGCTGAGATAAACCTAAAGGAAACAGAAAGGACTCAGGGGATCCTTTAGAGAGGAAAAACAACTTTTGTTAGAAAACAGAAGTTTTCTAAGAAAGAAACGAAACTTTTGTCAGTGTTTACTTCTTCCCTCTTTTAAATTCCATCCAAAAAAGAAACCTAAAAGGACTCAAGTTCCAACCTAAGTATAAACAAGACCACAATTAAGCTTGTTTTAAAACCCCTCCTTTTGGAGGTGCCTGAAAGGATGGCAGCAGAATCCCTTTTCTCCAGCCCATTTTTCTACAGGACCATATAATTTTTAGTTTTTAGGCACAAATACCCACCATCCCCACTGCAGTCCCAACTCCCTGCAAGACTCCCACTCCCAGCTTTAGCATCAAAGGCTGGAATAAACCACCTGATGTCAGACTTGTCTGCAGCTCCATCCCTCATCCCAGGCCTTTCCCATCACCCCCCTGACCTGCTCCTCCTGCTGCATCACTGGCAGCTGCACGGGGAAGATGCTTCAGGAACAGGAGGCTACAAGGAGGAAGCTCCAAGAACAGTCAGAAGCACATGACAGCTCAGCATCCCTCAAGCAAAGCCCCAGTTGAGAAAATGATCCATTTTTTCCTGCTTTTACTCCCAAACAACGCTCAGAAACATGGGGAGAGTCTGTTGGTGTGAATGCCAAGCAAGACTGGGGTGCAGGGCTCAGGTGACAGACACCCAACCCACAACAGCACCACCAGACAGGCTCCAGCCAGCTCATCCCAATTTAACCACCCCTCAACATCACACAATCCCATCCCACTTCAGATGGCCACCACCACCACCACAAGCCTTATCTTTTATCTCACAAGGGAGATAACACCGGGTCTAAGGGGTCTAATCCAACAGCTCTCAACTAAAAAGTGAAAGAAAAACCCCAACCCCGCAGCTTGGTTTGAGCAGAGCCAGGAAATTGCCTCGGGGGAAGCCCAGCCCAGCCTGGCGACGGGTTTTTACAGGGAACAATAGGAAAATGGGAGTCGCTAAAGCACCGAGGGAATATTTGCCTGCTCGGACAAAGCTCTGCAAGGAGAGAAGCTGAACTCGATCCCTACAATCCGAGAGCCCCGGTCAGCGGGAGGCACGATCCCCTCGATCCACTCGGGTGGATTTGTTGTAGTTGAAGCTGTCGGGTGGGAGACTCTGATCCCTTCAGCTCAGCTCTAATTTGGCTGCACGCACTTTCTTACCTGCCGGGCTGCTCCTCCTGGAGTTCAAGGACCAACGGGAGAGCTGAAATGCCCTGGTTTAATGCCTGGGAAGCTGCACGGCCACGGAGCTCTGGTGTTTTCCCCAAAATACTCCCATACACCAAGAAGCTGGGAAATTCAGTCCCACTGCACAGGCTGGGAGAGGCAGGAATCGGGAGGGCAGCTCCCTCCTGCTCAGCACTTTCAGTTTCTCTCTCCAAGCACTCTCCTGGCACAACTTCCTCTAAAGCGCTTTGCGAGTGAAAAGCTGTATTAGTGGTGGGATTAATCCTCTGAGGGGATAATAAAATCACAGAATCATGGAATCGTTGAGGTTGGAAAAGCCCTCTAAGGCTAACCCAGCACTGCCAAGGTCTTCACTAACCCACGTCCCCAAGTGCCACATCCTCACGGCTTTTAAATCCCTCCAGGGACGGTGACTTCAGCCCCTGCCACGAGAATGTGGTGTCAAAGGCCTTGCCAAAGTCCAGAGACACACCCAGGGCCCCTCCTTCACCTGCCAAAACAGGTCACCTTGTCACACGAGGAGATCAGGCTGGTCAGGCAGGACCTGCATGTCACAAACTCACACTGGCTGCTCCAGATCCCATGATTGCCCTGCTGGTGCTGCGTGAAGGCACTCAGGGTGATCTGCTCCTGTCACCTGACTGACAGCCCTCTAGTTCCCAAAATCCTCCTTCCTGCCCTTCTTGTAGCTGTGTGTGTCACATCTGCTCACTTCCAGTCACTGGGACCTCCCAGTTAGCCAGGCCTGCTGGGAAATCATGGAAAGTTACCCCCATCCATTGCAGCAATTCATTTGTTTGAGTCATCACAAATGACTCTCTGCTGGCAACCACCGTGTCACAGCTCTCCTGAAGCACAGTGGCTTCCAGATCCTTCTCCTGTTGGTGACCATGCTGTGGGTGCTGGTGCAGGTGCACTTCACTTGGGTTTTGGGAGAAGTCCCAATTCCTCTGTGACCATTTTCAGGGGCTTTCATGGTTTCCAACACATCAATAATCCTTGTGGCTGTGCTGCCACATGGATCTCCAACCCCTTCCTCCTTGGAGACAGCACACTGAAGGACATGCTGTCCCTCAAACACTGGGATGGGCCTCCAGGATTACCCCATGCAAAGATCCTTTTCCCCCTTGGAGCCAGGAGAACCCAAGCTCCTCAGCAGTCTTGGTGTCCTCCTGCAAATCCACCCAAAATCAAAACTAAAGCCAAAATAAGCCTGGAGAAGTCATTCCTTCTTGCTCCTCACACTCACAGTCCTGAAGATGAAGGAGAAAAAGCAGGATATCCCTGCCTAGGCTTCACACTACCCTGCCCTTGCTGCTCCTCCTGTTTCTCAATGTCTGTGCTTTTTCCACAGCCTGATCCAGCTGCAGCTCCAGCACTGGAGCAATGTGAGACCTCACAGCCTTCAGCTACACTGAGCCAGCTGCTTCCAGCTGATTTGGTCCATGAGCTCCTGCTGTCCATCCACTCATTGGCATTAGGGCCAGGCTTGTCTCCTCTCACCATCCCTTCAGCACTGCAACCATTCCTGAGCAGGACACCTCCACATGTGGCTTTAGGAACCCTTTAGGATTGCTTTTTGTTCTTTGATGGAATTTAAACATGCCAGACAAGTAGAAAAATGACACATTCCCTGTGTTACTGAGCATCCAAAAATGACACAGCTCCATCTCCAGCAGGCAGCGCTGCATCCCAGGATGGAGGAACAGGCCCTGCTCCAGCCCACTGTCAATGCCAGGGCTTTCCCATCCCTCAGGTCAGGAAGCAAATCACCACTGCCCATGGCTGCAGCAAAGCCACGTGGGTCTGGATCCTC